TGGAGAAGATGAAGGATGGTCGAGGTTTTTGGAGGCGTGGCCGCTAGAGAGGGCCAATTCGTGTGCTTCTCCGTTGCTATGGTGGCATGAACAAGACCTGTGTTTATTGTGCATAAGTCATGGCACTTGCGTCGAAAAGCGCCATTGCCAGGTGGATCCAGCACCGAGCCTTCTACGCTCCCTTCAAGGATCGTGAGTATATGATTGAAGCATTGCTGGAATTGCAAGAGGAGCTGCGCACCTAGAGACGTTAATCATTGACAAAGTAAGTTAAGTACGTAACATCGAAATATGTCCCGACACTAGACAAGCCAGAGTCCTGGAGCTGAGACTGGACTGCTGGCTGGAGGTGAATCAACACTTTCAGCTAAGAGTCACAGCTTAATTTGAAATACTTGCCTGAGCTGCTGAGTTGAACAAATAAAGTGGGATCATGCCAGTCTTGGTTGTGGAAATTGTCAGTTCGTTTGTAGTTGTGCCGACATGGTGAACAGGGCCGCTGGGCCGATTGGATGAATGAACCCAGCCGGTGACTCAGTCAGTGCAAGTGACGTCAAAACTGAGTTTCCAGTGCTCTGCGCCTGTGCGTGTGTGTGTGTGTGTGTGTGTGTGTGACTCTTGCCTTGTACTGTGGCAGCCATTTGATTCATCCAGCATCAAGTAGTGACAAGCCTTTGCTTGTTTTGTCCTTTGCCATGAGCTCAGCTCTGTCGACCATCCAATAAAGGCGTGGGTAAGGGCGAGGGCACGGGCAAGGGTAGGGGAAAGCCAAAGAACGAAGTTGTGAAAACATACTACGCTCCCATGCAGGACTGCTATCAGGCGGTGTGCCGTGTAGTGATAAGCGCAATCAAAATTAGCATGTCTGTGTTGGTTTTGAGTGCTTCTTGCTTGACTGAATGTCTCCCTTCAGCGCCGAACAGAACAGGGACAAGCATTGGTCCTTGCGCCAGCACAGAGGAGCAGCTTTCGATCGCTACGCGTGGTTTCCCGAGGACATTACTCTGCCACCCAGATTCAAGCCTCAGCAGGCTTTGATGCTTTGACATTGTATGGATCTTAATATATGGCACCAAGTAACAGCTTCAACTGCTGTTTCGCCTGAACTTCTAAGCCATGAGCTCAGGATCGATCCACAGGCGCCGCCAATTTACATCACGCTGGAGCTGACCGCTGCTGGGCTCGAAAGCATGACCGAGAACAAGCGGTTGAAAACCTTGCCGGAGGGGTGGGCCAGAGCGACCAGACCGATTTCTGAGAATGGGGAGCTTTACTTTAAGATGTCTCTTCTTCGTTTCGTTGAGGACCCCAACGACAGGAATGCCCTCGTGGATGAGACGGCTGAAGATGAGAACGATGGCAACGAGTTCGAGCCAGAGTGGCCTCCTGCTGGAGCGGTCCATGCTGTTGTTTCAACTGCTGCGGAGGCAGCTCAGCATCTCTGAGAGGCAGAGTGCCAAAGCCCAAGACAGAGTGCCAACAGCAGTTGGCGCAAATATGATTTTCGGGCAAAGACAGTGACGAAGGCAGAGTGCCAGGTGGGTGAGGCTTCGTCGACTGCCTCTTCTCACTTAGTTCTCAGCGCCCGATTTCTAGTTGTACTGCCTCCTGCCTGCCACAGCAGTCTATCATCTGAGGTACTACCATTACCTAGGTGCCCCAACTAGGTCATAATTACTCTTGTTGTTGGGGCAAAGGCCACTGTCAGAATTCTGATGACGAACATATGCTGCATCAGCAAAACTGATCGATTAATTGCCGGTTGTGAGTGGGTCAGCTTTTTCAAGGACTTCATCTGAGAATTCATGAGTGCCAGCAGTTCTGAGTTCTGTTGGAGTGTTGGATTTGTGCTGAAAGAGTATGGGTTAAATCGACCATGCAAGGTCTGGCGGCCGTCAGCTGGTGTCTCCAGACTTGCTGGTCGTCGGTGCTGTGCTTAGCTCCCGATTGCTGATTCTGATATTGCTGTTAAACACTGTGTAGCTGCTGCTTCAAACATTCCTGGACTTCTCCTCAAGTTCGTGTCATGATGTTTGTTTGCTCAAGTGAAGTGAGTGGTCTTTGCACGATGGCATGAATAGAATATTACAGCACATCAATGTCAACGTATAGGCCTTGGACTGCATTTTCAGAATAGTAGTATCTAGCTATAAATTATACAAGACTTTGACAGAGGGCATATCACATATACATATATATATATACACACACATACATACGTGTGTGTGTGTGCACGTGTGTATGCATTCATTGCAGCAGGTCCTGTTCAGCAGCGTTGATTCCAAGAGTGAGAGAAAAAGGTGAACGTTTGCAGCAAGTCAACAATGCTGGTCCAAACACAAGTTCTCGACACATAGTTACAAAGACACAGTATGCTAGGAGGTGCTTCTGAACAGAAGCAAGTTTGGTCCAATCTGGCAAAAGCGCAGTCCGACATAAAGCCATGGAAGCACAGCAGCGTCGGGTGTTTCGAAAGCTACTGTCGGTGGGAACGAGTCATCTACTGGCCAGGAAGCTCTTGCAAATGTGGCACAGCTCGTTCGAGGACCACGTCGCGCACCTTAATATTGATTGATTGGTTGCCAAAAGCCCTAGAACGGTGGATGACCAAACTAATAGCCGATACTCGCAAAAGAAGATTGCCTCACCGACTGCTTGGAATTCCGACTCTATTGAATTGGGGAAAATCTCGCCGACTGCAAAAAGAACTCCCTCGTCTACGCCAGCTACTTGCAAGAACTCACAATCCTCACGAAAATCGTTGAAGTGGACTGACCTGGGAGCCAGGCTGGTGGCTGATTGTAATTCAAAGGTGTGCTCACCGTACATGTTTGTTGCTGTTTCACCCCGTTTCGGACTTGAGACGGAAGGCAGAGTGCCAGAGTCAGAGGAAGGTAGAGTGCCAGTCGGTGTTGTTTCACCCAGCAGCGGACCTGATATGCAAAGCTTGCCGTAGCTCACTCTGCCTCCCCTGGTTTCGGCTGGCTTTCGACGGTTTAATTCGCTTGTGCAAAATTAACCCGCATACTAGAGTCGCAGACCTCGGCTAAAAAACAGCGCCCCACGCATCCAACAACGCGAAATCTCACACAAGCCGATGAACAACACCTTGTGCCAGGTCTTCTTAATTCTGCACATCATCGAGCTTCTTCTGTTTTTAACATTTTTGAAAGTCTTCAAAATACTGTTTAAAAATTGAAAACTTGCAATTTTTTTTAAGGTTTTCAAAAGCTCTTAGAAACTTCTAGAAGCCGTTGAAAATTGCTAAAAACATTCAAAAACTTTTTAAAGCTTGTAAAATCTTTTCTTTCCTAAAAACACATATCAAAATTTTTTGCTTGTATTTGTTTTTACTTGTCTAGATTTGTCTATGTGTCCGGATTTGTCTATTGTCGTCTCTAATCATCATTTTTTGACGTTGATTGTCGCTATGTGTCCTTATTTGTCATTGTTTGCCTTGACTGTCAAAAAAGCCGCCGGGATCTAAGCCTTATGGTTCTCGACCCTCGCAAGCGGTCAACGCGAAATAAGAAGTAAGAAGCGGCAAGGCCAGGATCAATCGCGAGATCATGGTGATTGTGTCCGCACCTGAGTTGGCTAGCGCTTGATGTAGCATCAAGCGTTTCGCGCTGTCCCGAAAGCCTGCGGCAAGCCAAATCCAGCCAGAGCGCTGGAATTCCAACATGCGTGGATTCATCAATGTCTGCGGCGAAAGGCGGCGGATGGCGGAACGTGACGTCCCAACGGGATCCATTTGACAAAAGATAGGATTTCTGTTGAAGCCTCCGACCACTTCGGCAGGGGCTGATGCGAACTTTCTGCACCAGGTAACTGCGCGGTGAAAGTGTAGACTGGAGCATCGGCGCAAAGGTCAGAGACTTCCCGCGGTTGAAGATTTTGTTTTGTTCCGGGGGTATCCGCAAGAAGCAGACTTGAATTCCTGAAGCCGACCGTTTCTGATTCCGCCGTTTCTTGAGCGTACGATGGTTCGGTCCATGCACCCAGTTTGAAACTTCAGTGCTCCGCACACAGCTTGTGGTCAGATTCTTGAAGAGCCAGGTTTCGGGAAATCCTTGGTTACAATGCAGAAATCACTCGGACAATTGGCGGCTCCGATAAGGCACGCTGGGTTGACCTAGGTAAAAACGGCATCCTGATCATGACGCCCTATTGCAGGCCTTCCTGGCAGTCGCCGGCTGCCAAGACATAGATGCACTCAGCATGGAGGACGGAAACAATTTTGTTTGTTTTTCCTGCTGAGTCAACGAGTCAAAGATGTCTCGACGAGTTTCACGATATGTTGTGAGGACAGAAAATGTAGTCTTCCCGGTGTCCCTTTCGAAGATCACGTGACGATGGAGGCCGTAGCTCGGGGCAGGTCTTGCCGTCTTAGGCAGTGGGCTTGCAGGTCTGGAGCGCCACCGCCGATGCCATGGTCACCTTGCTCTCCAGCTGTTGCCCAGCAATCGCTCCGAAGCAGGCGGAGATTTACGAGAGCATCTGTCCTTCTACGGCTACGACAGGATTTCTGAGAGTCACCAGTTGTTTCAAACTCGTGTGATGTCATGCTCCGTTCGCTGTGAGGCAGGGGTCCTGTCGTATCGTGGCACCGAAAACGAGCCGCACAGCTCGACTAAGGCTTTAAGATAGATGCAAGCAGCTATCAGCCGCCTCACTCAGAATCAAAGCTTGCGAGCTGCCACCATTCTGAGGTTCGTCTTCCCACACTCCTACACTCCAGCCATGGACGATTCCCTTTCGCTGACATATTACAAGACCTGGTGCCTCGATCGCAAAGACTCGGCAAAATTGCAGACGACAGATATCTTTGTGCTGTGGCTGCCAGGCGTCTTGAGCCGTTATTGAAGTCGTCCCCCTCCTTGCACCTTGCAGCTCTAGCGACAAGACGATGCCGAACAATTAGTTAAGTTAAGAAGAGTCATGCATGGTTCTCAAGGCACAATGTTCATGCTGCAGAGATGCACCCGGATGTCTCCAAGTGCAGCTGTCGTACATTATCGCAGAGCCGGGCTCTACAGTGTGCGAAACAACCCAGACCAGTAATACTACCACACAGAACTGGACACTCCGTAGTGCCGTAGAGGTCGAATCAGAGGCCTTGGGGTGAGGCCTTGGAAAATGGGATCGCAAGACCACGACTACGACTGTAGGTGACGAACGGGGCAATGCAAGGACGGAAAGCGCATCCCAAAAAATTGAGATTTGGCATGTGTGCCTCGTCAGTGGCGATCAGCTGCAACGCGCATGTTGTTGTCAAAGTTTGGCAAATGGATCTCTCTGTCGCATCGCTTCTCATCTGACCGAGATTTCAGTGCACTCCTTGGCACCATCACTCTGCCAGTCCCTCTTCGCCTTTCTGATTGAGGAAAAGCAACGGAACGGCGCAATGAGTTTCACATGTGGGTGCATTGGGGACGCCCAGACGGACTCCGTATCACAGCAGTCCCAGCTACATTGTAGAATAGATGCGACCGGAGGACAAGTGTGGTTCCCAGCGAGTGAAATGGTGGGAGCTGCCGCGGTGCAACAACGAATACCCCGACATACCCCTGACTGCACCTCCCTCTCCTTGTGTGACCACATACCCTTGAGATGTGGGTGTTCGTAGCATGTGAATGATGTTGTCACAATGTAGTCATTCTCTGAGGTATACCCAAGCACTTTGGCGCTTGCACGCCGTGCACGCGGCCCCCCTCCCAAACAATTTGCCCAGCATCCTCCACGCTTGAATTCCAAAGTGTGGACTCTCACGCGATCGCTGGTACGCTCGTCAAAGTACGTCTTGGGCTCAATTTCTGTGAGTTAGCCGCCGGTTAGCCCGTTGTTGATTGGGTGTGTGCTTCACGGACCAGCGAAGAATGCGGGCTGCAGGTCCACACTCGTGCTAAAGGTGTTGCTGTGACAGCTGCAGTCCCGCCTTTCGCCACTTTTAGCATCACGATAGAATAAGATGCTGTATCTCTATTATGGAGTGCTGATACCGCATTGCAGCATTGCAGGAATGCTAGCTGGCTGAGCGATCCCTCTCCGTATTTCAGCCTGCTCTCCGACTTCGATGACTCAGACGCACGGTGGCACATCTCACTTGCCGATTTCGCGTGAAGCTTGAAAGTGACAAGCTTTGGTTTCATCATCATGTGCACACGGAGGGCGCCTCAGACGAGTGACAAGGGCAAAGTCTGGTGAGGTCCAGGCAGGTTAGCTGCATGGCAGTACGACGATGACCGAACGCGGCCGCCCCACCGCCGTTTCCACCACCAGCGCGACAAATTCGCCACTGTGCCGCCACTGTTGCGACTGTTGCCACTCCGGGCGAAATTTCCGTGATACTATTATGCTGTGCCGGATACTCAAATCGCCGCCGACGACGGCGTCACCACTCCACCACGACTGAACAGCAATGTTGACGACGATCGCTAAATTGGAGTGTGCTGCAGCTGCCATGTGCGAGGTCCGTAAGCTGTAAGCTTCAACATAGACGCACACAGATGGACGGTCCTCCATTGCCTTCGCTAAGGAAATTCTGAGCTGCGACAGCAACTCTGCCCTGGCTTCAGAAGAATTGATCAACGATTTCGTCATGGCAACGGGCTGGCAGGCGGATACACGCTTGACGACCAACCAAGGGGCATCAATCCGAAGCCGAGAGTCGAGAGTGGTCCCCGGCCCCTCGCCTTTCAAGGATCTGCGACTTCAGCAGTAATTGCTGTGTGCATCTTCTGTCTTGAGTTTTGGCAGACAGACGGGGAGGGAGAGACAGAGAGAGAGAGAGAGGAAGAGAGAGACGGGCAGAGAGAAGTCCCAGCCTTCGGGGGCACTAACGCGCGCGGTGTGAGGGGTCTACCCTGTCACCCTAGCCCTGGCGGGCACCCGCGAGCGGAGTTTGCGGATTGCACTACATGGCAGCATCTAAGTCTTCGTCGCGGAGTGTATCGCTACTGCAGCCTAACATCGTTAGCAGATGTTAGCAGGGACTGTTGCTTAAGAATTTGTGCGAGAGCGTCAGTTCAACCTCCATCGAGTAACGCCCTCGAGCCTTGTCGCATCTGATCACATGCACATGAGATCTGATAAATACTGACGTCTTTTTCCATTAGGCTAGACACAATTCGCCAGGACCGTGTTCCACTACACTTTAGTGTTTAACGATGCAGCTACCAGCACTTAGCCGCACACTACAATAGCTTTAAAGGCATGGCACGGCAGGGGCTGATTTGTTGTCATCAACTTCTGCTTATAAGAGGTACATTTCAGATTGGGACCACCCAGCCGGATAAGAAATGACCCGAACACGTTGGTACCCTTCATCTGTTAGCTAGAAGATATTTCAGCTTTTCGGCTTTTTGGATGCTGTCCGGCTGATGTAGCCCCTAAATATTTTATCCAACCAGTTCTTGTACAGTGATTGCACTGTAGATAGTCGTTAGTTAGATAGACAGATTGATAGGCAGGCAGGCGAATAGATGGAGCGAGCGAGAGAGAGGGAGAGAGCCAGACAGACCGACAGACAGAGAGGTAGGCAGGTAG